CTAGAAAATTAGTGTTAATATAAGAACCTAGCGAAACACCACATGCCATTCATCGTTAACAAAGCAAAGGGCACCTGTCTTGAAGAATTAGTTAACCACATTAACGCTGTAGGAAATTAAGCAATTAAAAATAATTATATTTGATACTAACCTTTATATATATAAAATAAAATATAACAAAAGTAAAGATAAGTCTTCTTTCATGGAAATTATTTCACATCTCTCAATGAAGCAAGTATAATTCACGCTTCTATAAAATAAATGGGAACAATTATTACAAATAGATACAAAATACATTAAGGGGCAAGTAGTAGTATAAAATAGTTCTTTAATCATGTAATTACATCACAAAAATGTTACTACATTTAGTGCTTTACGTATCTAAGATGCAATTGTCTGTACACTTTAGGGAAAAGAATTCCATGAATGAATAATAAAGTGGAAATGATCTCTAATGGTTATGTTGGTAGTAGAAGCTTTTATCTTCAGAAGAGTCCTTCCGTCACATATTAGGTGCAATTTTGACTTGAAAGGAAAACTAAAAGGATTAAACCAGAAATAACAACAAAAATCAAGTTTTGTTTAAACACGTATGCTGTTTGTTTATACTTAATATTTGGATTAGGTGTGTTTATAATATTGTGAAACCTCTATACTTGACCTCTCTATTCAAGAGATAAGCCCCTCAGTTAGGCGATATAGTCATACCTGACTGACAGCGGGTGTACAACATTTGTTGACAAGATTCGAAATATAGTGTATTCGTGAGAAAAATGAATGTTATGCTTGTATAGGAATGTAAATATTTATTAATATACAAATGATTAGAATAAATGATTAAATATTTACATATTTTCCGCGAACTCCAACAAATTCTTTCCACCATTAAAAACCTTCATTTGAATGCATGTTTTTGTGCTTTTTTTATTGCATTTGCTTCTCTCGTCGATGGCGTATACGCAATATGTGCGTCTCAATGTTTTGCCACATGTTGCAATCAGAAATTCTCGAGAAGCCTCGGTGCTTCTAAGCAAGCGGCTGTTGCTGCAAAATGCAATCGTCAGTCAAAACAATTTCTGCGAAGCAATTGCGCGATAAATTCTCATTTGCAGAATTGCGTTTTGTGCATTATCTCTGAAATATTATCAGCGCATTCATTCTTCTTCTGTCAAAGGTCATAAGAAATTCCGCTGGAATGAACACAACAAAGTGATATTTTTGTTGCTGTTTATGACGAACTAAAATTCATTTCGAATCGAGTCTGGGGGTTAAGTGGGAAGTACTAGAAAAGGAAAAAAACTGCAAACAGCTGGCTGGTTTGATGGAGCAATCAAGATGAACACGCTGCAGCTAGATTGTCAAGCAAACACACACTCGAATGTGTGTGAGTGTGTGTGTGTGCATTGCTGTGCTATGCAGTTGTAGTCGATGGCCGGCAGCTGTGTGCGCCATCGTGTACAATTATTACAATGAAAATGAATAAAATATAAAAAAATACTATAAGATATGGTAGCACAGCAAAAGCGAAAACTTAATGTATTTTTCGTAAGCGCGTCAGAGTTTGAACAACAGCAACAAGTTTGAGTGGTGCAACAACAACAACAAGTACAACAACAGCAACAACAATCAGCAATAAACACACGTAAGTGCCACAACATCAGCGGGTACGGGTGCGGGCACGGGTTCGGGTACCGACAAAAGCGATTTGATCAACGGCGGCTGCGCCGGTGACCGGCAGCGGCAATGACGTTGGAGCTGACGCCGACGTTGACGCAGCCGCTGCCGCTGCCGCTGCTACTGACGACGACGGCAACGTCGACCATACAACCATAATGCCGACAACTGCAGCTTAAGCAAGTTTTACAGATTTACGTTTTTGATTTATGTGTGCGTGTGATTGTGGGCCGAGAGGTACCTTTAGTTTTTATGTCGAGCTTTTGGTGCGCTTCAATCCATTCAGACGGGCATTCTGCTGTTTAGTGGCTTGACTAATGATCATTAATCAGACGTTTTCGTAAATGATCTATAACTATAGGCATTATAACGAAAATTGAAAACAACGCGATTTTCACAAAGCTCATCGGAAACTTACCGGTACTTGATTTTTTGCTTAGCTTCCATAATTAAAGTATTTTTCAAACTTGTTAAAGAAAAATATTCTTGTGTTTTCCAAGTCTGAATATCTCGGTGTACGACTATTCTAAACATTGGAAAATTCCTCAAACTCACACTGTAAATCGATATAAGAGATATATGTTTTTGTTCCCTATTTGGATTAAATTATCAAAATTAATTTGGCGTATATTTTCTTAAATTAAATTCATTATCATTTTATGAAAGAATTCGCTCTCGCACATATAGGGCGAACATAAATTTAATAAATTCTCACAATTTTTTTTAAATTTAATATGTTTATCAAATTAATTTTGAAAGATTTCAATCGATTTTGTAGCCGAAATAGGCCTGAACTCTATTTTTATTAAATTTTTACGATAGCGTTAAGTAATATTTACTTTTAATATTCAAAGAATTCAACATATGTTAGATCTTTAATTTTAGAACTCTATTTTAATTTTTGTCCAGCTTAATTTATAATTTTGTATAATTTTACATACATTTTAAAATGAATATTTTAAAGTAGAGCTAATCCAACATATTAGAGCGAAAACTTGCAGAGACATAATAAATCATGAAATAATTTTTTACCTTTAATCTCAATATTTTCTTGGTACTGTGTTATTGTTAGTTTTTTTGTAAAGAAATTCTGAAATTGTAGACAGGTGGCTGACACTAAATAATACTATAAATGTTACCCGATATTGCGCATATTTGTTGATACTAGCTTTAAAATTCTGTGACAGTCATTGCCATTCAATCCTAAAATGTTCCTACAAAAAACAAAGGGAATAAATACGGGATATCAAGTGGCATACGGAACAAATAGCGTATGGAATGATTTTAATTGGAATATTGCATGGTCATTAACTTCTTCATTTCATATCAGCCAATTATTAGTCAATTATTCGTATAAAATTGGCATATAAGGCTTATTATAAACTAATAATACTACCTGATTGTGTTTTTTCTAATGTTTAATGAACTATAAAGCGTAACTTTAATGTTCATATGATGTATTCCAAAATGAACCAAAATCGAAAATGTACATTGGTGATCTTGTAAAATTGCGTTAGTTACTTTAATAATATAATAGTTTCAAGATAAGCCGAAACTGATTCAGCAATGATTTCAGTTTTGACTCGCTGAAAATGATAAGTGGCTTTGAATTGAGAAAAGCAACTCATTCGATTCTAATGTATGAATCATTGAAGGTCCGTAATTGTCCGCCTGTTGTGGAATGTGACTGTAACAAACGTTTCAAATGTAAATATTCGTTTTAAAGACAGATGCTTTTGAACATCAAAAACATTAGTTAAATTCGTTTATTTTGATTCGTAATAATTCGAAATTGTTTCGGCGTATAATAGCATGGCTCATACTCGTACCATATCAAGATCATATTAGATGCAGTCTGGCTAAAAATATGTGTGACAAATCTCGACAATGTTTTGCTTAACAAAAGAAACGACATTGATATTCTTGTAAATAAAAAACAACAAAATAAAGTTACGAGTATTTGTGGGGAAAAAAGAGCAATTCTATAAGCTAAACAATTTTGATGCTTGCTCTCGCAGTTTTATTTATAGTTATTATTTCGATTAACAATTTTATTTATTTACATATGAGGCACAAACAGAGTAAAAAGTGACGTCAAGCAAATAAAAATGAGCAGAAATAAGCCACAAAACGATGGTCAATCGCTTTGAACAATCCCCTCGAAACTTCACAGGATTACCCACGGGACTATTTTGATTATTGCAACAATATTTTATCAAATTTGGTTGAGCGGTTTCTATATATGTATAGTCTATAGGGACTATGCATACATACTTCCATTTTTATAGGAAAATTTAAAGAAATAATTTTGAATTTGTTCACTTTAAATATGTAAATCTATACCTAAATATTAGATATATTATTGGCCTTTAGAATAATTTCGAGTTGGGTAGCTCTCTTAGTATGTTTTAGATATGAATAATGTTGAGATCGACAATAGCTCTTGAAGGGCGTTTAAAAGCGTTCTTAACTTGTTCCCCACATTTTGTGCCTTTGCGTTCATAAGAAATTTGATCAGTTTGATTACTAAGCATTCGACAATGATCGTGCAAATAAAGTCATCACTTTTACAAACATTGGGTGCGGCTAGGAAAGCCTTAACAATAAATAAATAAATATTTAACCTAATACTGGTCACTGATCAAGGTTCTCTCAACAAATTTTTGTTTTGATTGAGATCGCATTCGAATCTACTTTTTTAGAGAGCCATTTGGTGGCATTTGCTCTCTATTAAAGTACTAGATCTATATAGACCTAAAACATGCGACATATGTATGTACTTATATATTTATATTCGTATGTTTGTCCAAGACGCGCTCTGTAGCTGCTCCGACCAGTTGGGTAGACCCGAAAGCATTTGAAGCTCGTTGTCGCGCTTACCAGCCGATTGACGACCGACTCTACAAAGCAAACAAGTGAGCGATTGTTAATGGCTATATATGTATGTATGTATGCATATGTGTGTGTGTGTGTGTGTGTGTGTGTGTGTGTGTGTGTGTGTGTGTGTGTGTGTGTAGTATAGTATTGTTTGGTATGGGTGTGTGTGTGAGTATGTTGTTGTGTAGTTTTACTTTTATTTTTGTTCGTTCGTTTTTTGCTGCCGATCGCAACTACAAAGTACATATATACACGAAATACATACTCATACCGACTATATACGAGCCAAACAGACATGTACGTGTATGTGTGTGTGTGTGTGTGTGTGTGGGTATCGGTGCTTTTTTAGCAGTAGCTGCGATCGTCGACTGCGCTGCCATGGCAAAACAGAGACGAAAAAAAGTTTTAAATCTGGTAGAAAAATCTGAAACGAAACGCGTTTGTGGCCTCAGACGACGAGTGGCAGTCGTACAATAAAGACGTATTTCGTAGTTTTACGGACATCTGAAAAGTTGTCTGGCCAACTTTTTGTTCCAAACCGCAGCAAGCAACCAACACCCGATATACAAAAACAAGAAAGCAACAACTAAATACTGCATACAATATACGTAAAAAAACCAAGTACAACAGCAAAATACTGAAGGCGCTCGCTCCTTTTACTTTTTCGCATCGAAAAAAAAAACAACACACACACAAAACCAAATCAAAAGTCAATGTAAGTGCAAGGCAGCAAAAGTGAAATTGAACAAATGCAATGCGCATAAAATCAAAAATCCACAAAAAAGCGCAAAAAACCCAAGAGACGTTTTTTCGAAAGTGTTAAAACCCTAAAAAAAAAAAAAATTGTGTCAAAATTGTTGAACGAAAAACTCGCTAATTGGCTGTGAAGAAACAATTGGCTGAGAAAAAAGGAACCGAAAAACAAATTATTGCTCAACTGTAGCCCACAAGTTTTTTACTCGTTATTCCCATCATTGTTCTTATAGTGATATACTAGATGACCGATAAGGATAACGTTTCAATGGCAACCGTGCAAATGAAGCCCGACTATGCGGCTAGCGAGGTCTACAGCACCGCCAGTGAGCCGCCACCGGTAAGTATCCTGCGTCCTGCCGCAAGCAGTGCCCAAGCACTCCTCCCAACTTCTCTTCTAAGCAATTTCATGGCAAATTAGGCATAACTAATTCGATTTGTTTTAAATAGTTGTCCAATTATCTGCGCCACTTGCCAACCACCCAACTGCTAACTGCCCAGCTACCTGGCTGGGTTTTATATAAGTTACTGGCTACTAGTGGCCAGAGTACATGTCTTGGCAATTGTTTTTTGAGTGTAGTATGTGCTGGCTAAGTAGGTTACTAGGCTCTCATTAGTGACTAGCTAGCTGCAAGTTGCAAGCGAGTCTTGGTCATGTTTGCAGCTATAGCTGTGGCTGTCTTTCGACATCTGTACAAAATGCCAGGGTCGTTTGATGCTTGGCGGATGTGCACGGCCTACGGCTCGTATACGCAATGTGCATGAAAATTCTGTCTTTGTCTTCGCTGCACGCAGCTAAAAAACGTGAGCATTTTCACTAAATATATACATATATCCATATACTACGTCTATATCTCGGCCCTCTGCTCTGTCCGGCTCGCATGCATAACCAATTTGCCGCCACTTAACCAATAAAGCTGACAGTTGTCAATCCCCACCACTCCCCAAAACCCCCGATTCGTTGTTTTAATATGCAATTTTGAAATTATAATATGCATGCAGCTGATTGGACTGGAAGCCAGATTCAGAGCGCGAGTCCGCGTCCGCATGCAACGTGAGCGGCCTTTACAATTGCAAAGAGTGGCGACTATATTCTGATCTGTGATCTGTGATTTGCGAGATTTTATTTCGCTGTGACATTTTCCAAATATCACGTTAAACTTTGTGTTTGCCAGCTGCCTCCATTGAAAGTTCATTCTCAGCCAAGTGTGAATAGATTTGTACCCATTCGACGACTATAGTTTATTACCCGCATTTCGAAGCGACAAAGAAGCAAGAAAACCAGTTGGAAAACATTTGCGATCTAATGCAAAAGTCACGATTGTTGCGGTGCCTGTGGCAAAGTCAACCCAGTCCGCGACTCGACTATATCTTCATAATGAAAAAGCCAAACAAAAAATGTTTCACAGAAACAAAAAACAAACAAATACTAAGTACTAAGTAGGAAAAACAAGACCAACAGCTGTCGCTATGGCTGTGGGACAACAACAAAAATTATGCATTTTGTATTTAGCTGTCTTGCCATGTAGAGTAGGAAATGGAAACATATAGACTGCCTTATAGTACCTTGTGCAAGCCACAACACTTGTTTGTAGGCGTACAATCAGGTTTCTATTGCTGCTGGCTGCAGTGGATATTTACATAAAACTCATTTACTTTTTGCCATTTTTGCCATACTTTTCATATTGCAATTCATCGACATCAGCATGATTAGTGTAGCACCATTCAGGCTGATCTTAAGTCAAACATTATGAGAGTATATGTACTTGTACAGTGAAAGCTGTTGGTGCTCTAATAAGCATCACGTTTGAAGTGGGCAGGCACTCAAGGGTTAATGTGGAGGAGGGAGCACTGTCAGCAAATAAAAGACTTCAAGTACGCTTCGAGCAATTGGAATGCAATCCGGGCTTAGCCTTATTGGATGTCAGCTTAAATCGATGAGTTCTAGAAACAGAAATTGTAGGTATGGTGTTGATTGATCTTCACTGTCAATTGATTTATTTTTAGAAAATCACCATCAGCTTCATTAGATCAATCAAGTTCAGCAAAAGTGCTAAGTGTGTACGATTTCTAATGCTACGCTATGTTGTCTGATCCAGAAAGTGATCCCTTACTTTGAATGTCTGTCTCTTAGATTATCAATATGTTGAGCCAATATGGAAAAGTCCGTTGGAAACTAGCCTCTCAGCAAATTAAACGATTAAAAACGTTAGTTGGGAAAACTTTTTAGTTAACGTTTTGAAAATGACCAAAAAAAATACAATTTGCAATCAATATCAAATATTTAAAGCAAACATAAAACTAGTAGTTGATCAATATAAATTTCATTTAATTTTAACATTAAATAAATAGAGTTCCTAGTAGTCCTCTTGCTATATATTTTCGTAGGTGATATAAAAATCTACACTTAAAATATTCAGCTTACAGTTCCTTGAAAACAAAACAATTTGTTGCATTGCCAATCAAATTTCATTTGCTTCGGTAATTTAAAACGCATTTGTGCAAACGATTTTAGCAGCTAATGACAATCTAATGCCAGAAAATTCTTCAACACAAAAAATAAACAAAACGATCAATAATAATAATTATCGCTATGAAATGCTTGTACTTGTATATGTTAGGTTGTTTTTCTGCTAACCCGAAACTAATGAGGCGTATCGATTTCCTATAGCATTTTTATGCCCATATTAGATATCTGCAACAAGTGAGACTTACGAAACAGCTTTCACCGCCTTCCCTTTTTTTTCCATAAAATATTTTTTATCTACAAGTACCTATACCTATACATTTGCCATTTTTTTTTTTTGTGTTACTCTTACATGCCACCAATTCATTAACCTTTGTCTTCTTTTGTTTTATGTCCATTTGTGTGTGTGCCTCTCTCTCTCTCTCTCTGTTATTTGATGTTTTTCCAAAAACATTGACAAAATCCTCACAACCATCAACGCCATCAATACATGAACAACTATGACTTGCAATCATAAAAACAAATGTTTTCTTATGTGCCTGTCCACCGCTGCAAAAATTGTTGACTTGTGTGTCGGTGTATGTATGTGTGTGTGTGTGCGGGCCATAATGATTGACAATCAAACAAAATGTGAAAATTTCTCCCCTCTTGCACCAACAAACGAACAAAAAAAAAAAACCAAATCCCACGGTGCCAACACACACACAACCCACCAGCTTGGATTGTTTAACTTTAATCATCAGGTTTGTCGCTCAAGTCTTTTGTTTTGTTTTCTGCACAAAACCAACCACACAAATATCTACTTGTATTTTTTATTTTCAAAGTAAAAAACTAAAAACTCTTTAAAAAACTCATCAACATCCACGGCATTGTTGTGGTCTGGTCTCTGCGTCTATGCAAGTGCCTAACATTCACTTTAACTTCCAACTCACTTCAAATTCCACTACTATAACTCACAACTACTCTTCACTTCACTACACTCCTCTTAACGCCACCTCCATCTCTAATGTGTGCTGTCAGCGCCAGTCGCCAGCAAATCTGTTAATGATGACGACGATGGCGACGACTCACTTTCGCAATTGCATTTTGGAAAAATGGGCATGAAACGCACATTGAAACAATGCCAGAAAATAAGGTGTAAAAATTGCACATTTCGCTGCACACACGGACGGGCAGCTGTGGACGGACTAATAGAGTCGCATATATACTTTGTAATTGAGGCGCAAATGCTGCACCCACATACACATGCACACACACACCTACATATATCTATATATATATATATATCAGCACAGATATGAATGCGGGCGCAGTAAATGCCGAAACTTCTACCGGTTTCTCTAGACGTGCCATGTTTGTGGGTTGTCTGCCTGTCATGGCTGAGATTTCCTCAATTTGTGCTGCATTTTTATGAGGTTTTCATTACGCCTCATTCTGCAAAGCACGCGCATTTCCTGTTGCGCAAGTTAACACCAAATAGGTACGATACACATAATGGCGATCAATTTAGCGGCAACACCCTCCAACACTTCTTTATTATTTCGTTACATAAAAGGAAAGTAATGCGAAGAAATATACACTTTTTGTACTGAATACTAAAGGAAAGTATAAGTAATATTTTCATACTCTAGGTAGGGGCTGGCCTGAATTAAACAGCTTTTAAAATAAATATTTGTAACTACATTTAGCAAGTTATGTGGGAATTTATTTAGAAAAGCCTTAAAAGCTTTGAAATGTCTCTTTATATCAAAAACATTATTACTTCAGAACATAAATAATTTCATATAATTGTTTCGATCAATTTTTTATTAGTTATAGCTATTACTTTTTACAAGTATTTTCATATAAAAGTTCTATTAACAATGAAGTCGAGCTTAAATTTCATTTGTTTTAGTTTCAACCCCTTTTTAAAAACACTGTGATATGATGAGACAACATTTATGAGTAATTAAAAATTCACAATAAGTTGCTTGAATAAGTTGATATAAGAGAAAAATAATTAAGTTAGGCAGACAATATATGTAGCTGTTTAAAAAAATATGCCACGTGCATTTATTCAATTGATCGTCATTATATTTGCGCAAGTGTTTATGGAAATTGCCCATTGTGCCCCCTTTGAGCAATTTTCACATACAATTGTAAATTTTCGCACTTCATTTCTATTGTTGCGAAAAATGTATTAAAAAATTGCTTTTCATTTACCTTTCAAATTTGCACAAAATATGCAAATGAAATTAACGGGCGGCTTGAACAAAAAGAAAGAGCAAAACTAAAACCAAAACAAATATTGACTTTATTACGCATGGCTGTTCAAAAAAAAAAAAAGGCTCACACTGCAGCATCTAATGGGAGTCTGTCGGTCTGTGCAAATATTTCAGCAAGCTTAAGGCCTCTTATATAACAGCTGCTTGACTGGGACTGATGATCTAATCGCACACAATGGCACCCCATAAAGGCAGCTCGACTAATCCCCCCATTTAGTGACACCATTCGGCATGCCTAATCAGCTTAAGAAACCAGCTGTGCATTATGCAAGTTTGAAGCTGAAATATTTTGACAACTGATTCACAACTCTCTGGGCCATTTATAAGCATTTAATAAAATAACAAAAGCGACAATAACAGACACACTCAGTTTACAACCTCCGCTCGTTGGTGCTGACCTATGCTATATTTTTTTTACTATTTGCTTGTTTGTTTGCAACTTTTACTTTTCCCCACTTACACTCACTTACTCATTCAGTCATTCGCTCATTTAGTCTTTGCACCTTGCACCATTGCATTGAAATTGTAATTAGCCGTGAGCGAACGTAAACGTGACCCGCTCGTTGACCGCGTCTCTGTCACTTCTACGCAGAAGGTCAATGCTTTTACCGTCTGCGAAGGTTATGCCAATGCACGTAGCTAGTTAGTGAATCACATTGCAATCATTAGCAATAATAATTAATGCCGAACTAATTTTAACTAAACGCCTCTTTGACCTTTACAGGCCTACAAGCGCCAGTCGAATTCGGTGAAGATTGCCAAAATCGCCGGCTTCACCATCGTTGTGTCCTCCTTCATTCTGGGCACCTTCATTCTGGCCTCATCGTATCTGCAGGCTAAGGCCTCTTGCGATCAGGTGCAGGCTCTAGACTCGGTGCTGGAGAAGGAACTGATGCTGGAAACGTTGCAGCAGGTGAACAAGGTAAGCACCAATATAACATAAGCTGCTAATTCAGAGATGGTACAAAGTTCAAATAGTTGTGCTTCAAAGCGCAGTAATGAGCTATTAATGACTACACTCAGAGAAAACAAGAAGTTTTTAAAAACTGTGTCTTGATTAGTTTATGGGTTCGAAAAAAAGTATCATCAAGTCTAAAACGTGTAGCAAAAATAATGAAAAATATATAAACAAAATGCATTTGTTTTACGGTTGAAATGCAACGTAATCGTAAATGATATTTGTTTCAGTTAAATAAATTATTCCTGCATTCTTTTACATCAAAAACAAAAGTCTGACAAACTTAACGACTTAAATAAATATTGAATAATATGAAATATATAATATTTTAAAGCATAAATTACATCTGCAAAATTCTTAAAAGAATAGTTTAGCCGTTACTATAACAAATGAAGACAATAAATAAAAGCAAAATATAATTTGAAACGACATCTTTAGAAGACTGTATTTACAATCAAATTGTATTGCAATCATTTTATTAATGTCTTTACAATTTTCCTCAAATTTTTTTTTTGAGTGTGCCTCTCTAGCTGTCAGTCTGTCAGACAGTCTGTCTGTCTGTGTGCCTATCTGCCTGCCAGCTTGTCTGGTCGTCAGCCCGTATCAGCTTGTGCGTTTCATAGCTGAAATTTTGTAAAATTATATTGTTAGGTAATGATGGTGTTGTGGTATATTTGTTGTTGTTGTTGTTGTTGTCTAGCTCGTTTTGCATCGTTCGTTGCACACGCCATATAATTTTTTCTTATCGACCTGTCGGTTTTTTGTTGTAGTTTTTATTTTACTGCTGTTAGCCATTTGGCGATTAGCCACAACAGTCGAATATAAAGCCAAATTATTGATAATTACCGGAAAATGTACCTATAAAATAAAAGGAAGCATGCGCCATGTGCCATATCCAGACTTCATGATTTTATCGCTTCACTTTTAATTGCCTGAGCTATTTTAGAAACAATACATAAAATTATAACGAAGAGGCGGCACATTTTGAACCGCGATTCGATCTGAAACAATAGCAAGGCACAACTCATCAATAATAGCAATAATTATTGGATATGAGTATTTTCTATGTAGGTATCACGATTTCTAAATATAGGCTGGCTTCAGAATGAGCTCACCAAACATAATAGGGTGTTGTGAATAGTGATCGAAACTATAGTATTTACTGTTCATGCTCAATCAAACTTATCAAAATAAATAAGGGAGAATGTCAATAAATGCTGTTGTTATAAGGGACATGCTTTGAATATGTATATAGTATAAGAAGACATAACTTACTGTAAGTTGGTAAAAACACAAAAAGGGCATACTCATTACATTGGAAGAAAGTATTGATTAGAAAATTCTTCCAAGTCAGTATGTCAATAATGAAACTGATAGTTCAAATATCGTACGAATAGTTAGCAATACATGAAAAAATCTAGAAGATCAATAGTATATATATATTTTTTTTAAATGGTTTCTTTAGTTAGATCTGTCCTAAAAGAACAATTATTAAATTTGTTCGTGTGTCTTGAGTAGTGGCATCTAAGCAGACTAAATGAGACTTCGAAAATTAAAATTAAAACTCATTTGGAAGGCTGTAGTTGACTCGGAATAAAAGGAAGAAAACCAAGAAATAGTCGAAGAAGCATTAGTCATTGATAGGTCTAATGAATATGGAATGATCATGATCATGAAAAATGCCCAGTTTGCTTAATTTGGTTGAATTTCCCTTTCAACAAGTGCCAGCGAGCTAGCCCCCACCTTTCACCAAACGGCTTATATGTATATTTTTGATCTTTTGTTGGCCAACCATTTGCCATTGATATGGAGGTAATATGTACATATATCATGCTTAACTGCTTCCTCTTTCGTTCGATTATATAAAGATAAACGTATATACTATATATATACAGCCAACATACAATGGTTGCATATCGTGCCAGCCAGCCTCATACATATGTCTTGCCTTTGCATGATCAATCATGGCAAATTGAATGAGTTGAATTTTTTCCAATTGAATAGCAATAATTGGACTTAGTAACGGCCCATGTAAAATTACAACAGCAATAGCAACAACAACAAAAATAAAACAATAACAATAAATATGCGTTTGCGTGCTTCCTTGAGAAATTTCACCCGTTGCAAATGCCAACACACATACATATCTACATATATACAAATGCATATACATATGTAGCTACTACTACACGCTATATATATGCATAGATATATGTGGTAAAGAGATCTATGGGTGCCTGACTGTACGTCTATGCGTTTGTAACTGTGGTATATGGCGCATTAATATTTTATGACTGTGCATATATTATTGTACACGCCACATAATTCAAATTTAATGGCGTTTCTAAATTGCCTCAGTACGAGTAGACTCGTATGTGAAAAAAGAGAAGAAATATCTACAAGCGCAAAAAATAAACAAACACTAGACACGCAAACTTATTTTCTACATTTGCATAGCAAATTATGCCGCATCATCAATATTCAATTAAAAATACAACAAAAATAAAAATAAAAACTGCACGTGACGTTTTATTGCCTGAGGCAGCAATGAAAGCACCCATTGTCATACAATAAAATAATAACACTAATATTCATGAATAGTAATAAATAGTAGTCGGCGCAATTAAAGTTAATGATGCAAATGCCGCCGACATCTAATTGTCTGAGTGCCTGAGCCTGCAATTGTTGCGAATAACAACAACAACAACAACTAAGTATGAAGACGACAAGTTATGACTGCAAATCACAATTGCCATACAATTTGGCCGAGTTAGTCTGATCTGGGGTTGTTCAACTTGCAGATATGTGCATATATATAGTGTACATACATACGGGTCTCTCTGCAGAGGAGTCTCTGCTTATGTAAAGCCAGTTGTTGTACGACAACAACAAAAATTCAATCAAGCGAAATTCCCATAATTTGACGCTTAAGTGGACACCAAAATGGTAGAGCAGCAGCCACAGTCACAGCCGCAGCAGCAGCAGCAGCAGCAGCTTGCGACATAATCACCAACATCAGCGGCAGTGGCAACAATTGCAAATCAAATACACACACACACACACAAACCGAACAACAAAGTGAAAGCAGCAAACGGAAAAAAACAAAAGCAACAACTACTCGTACTATGCAGAGACAGACAAACATGTTGCAATGCTTGAACAGCAGCCAGTTGGGCCCAACAGTGAACCACTGAAGCGCAGCGCAGGGCAGCGGGAAGACGAGTCGGGGAGGGTGCGGGTGTGTGTGTGTGTTTGTGCCAAATGCCAGAGATCAGCTGCAGCAGAAATAATGCAGAAATTCACATTTTGCTGTCACTTTTGGAAAATCCAGAAAAAACCGAATATTTTTGCCGGCCTACAGTGGTTGAAGAATACCTAAGAGATTCCAAAATTCTTCCCATAATTGAAAACACGATGCACAGAAAGGAGAACAAAGTGAAGAAATATTTGAAGAAGAATTAAGAAACGTTGTGTACCTCTATAATTGATTTAGGTGTTGATTGTGAAGCTGAAGCGCACACTAGTTTTCAGTTAGTTGTTCTGTCTAATGCTTACATCAAAGTTAATAAAAACAGAGCTTAGTTAATTTCTTTTTAGTTTCCAATGCCGATGTAAGTACCTTGTTAGTTTTTCGAACAAAAGCCTATCCAGATACGGAATATGTAATTAAAAATCCTTGATAACGTTGCTTGCTTTGATTACATTTTCCTATCAACAATCAATTGAGACTCATACTACTCATATATAATTTAAAATGTGAAAATGTTAAGAATATTACAATTTACAAATTCTATAGTTTTTTATTTCAACATATTGGTATTAAAAATTTAATAAGTCGATACAATTATGCGATAGGAATTGACACAGCAAATATCCTTCAGGAAAAGCAATCAAGAAATTTCAATTTTAGGCTAAACTTCTATAGAAATTGTGGTATATATTCAGTATAGTATATATTTCAATACAATCCCAATGCATTTTTTATTAGCACTCGACACCCGATTGCACTGGATATTTAAATTGATTGCAAATCGAAATTTGGCACCACAGTGCGACTGCTGTCGTGCAAGGCGGCGCTTGGCACTGCTGGAAAACCGCAAAAAAGAAGAAGAAAAACAAAATAACACAAATGCCGCCAGTTAGGCAGGCAAACAAACGTCATGAGAGTCAACGTTGCTGAGTGCAATCTGCCAGAGACCATAACAGCAACATAACAACAACTGCAACAGTAACAATAATGATGACGACGACGACGGCTGCTGAATGTTGACTGTTTGCCATTTAAGGTTTTGTTTCTTGGCTTGGCAAGTTTCTCGCCTAAGTCTTTCGTTTTGGGCAGAGCGAGGTGCGCAAGCAAATAAAGAGACGCAACAAAACAACAAATGCCAGCAGTCGTCTTCGATTATGTAACTGTGCACACACACACACATACAAGAAACACACACACTAGCCTACATATGTTATTTACTGACGCTTCGAAATGAGCTATGGAATGAATAAATATAATTTATTTTGCTTGCGCTTCCATCGCTCATAACTTCGGGCAACAATTGCGCGAGCGCCGAAGCTGTTGCCATTTTTTTTTTGCCAATTTTTCATTTTATGGCTCTTTTATACAACGCCTTGTGAATTTTTAAACAGACGCCACAACTACCTCTGCTTGGGTATTATTATGTTTTTTTATGCAAATCAACTTACATTCTGATCGGTTCTCTTCAGAACATTTCAGTTTGCATTGCAGAATTTCAATTTCGATTATTTGCGTCAATGCTAAAAATATAGCCTCAATACTACTATATACTTGTACATAGGTACAAGCTCTTATATACATATGTATGTACGAGTATATATAATATATCTGCTTATAAATTGTTATTGTGCACTCGCTGTTTCCCTTTTTTATTCCACTAAACGCTGCCTTAATTGCATTTAAAGTGCGCGCCACGTTTAATTTATAATCATTTAATTGCGATCTTAATGTGTGCCACAACAGTCGTCGTGCTTTGTTTGCCTCATTTTTTTTTTCAAAATACATTTTCTGCGTTTTTCCACAACAAATTAGAAGCACAAAATGTTCTGAGTGAGTGTGTGTGTGGGTATATACGAGTATAATTGATGTTATCTGTGTCGACCTTGAAATTCAACAGAAAAATACAATAAAGTTGCTCTGAAAACCAGACTGGCTGAATGTCTGACTAAGTGACGGACGGACCGACAGACTTTTCGTCAGACATTGTCTTGCAGCTCAAGTTGTTTTTGTTGCTCAACTGGTTGGATTGGAAGAGTTTTTTGTTGTGGTAGCTGCTATTTTTTGCACTGCTCGTTGCGGGTTTTGGAGAAATTTCTGTTTCAGCCGAAAAGTAATTAAGTGTCGCACACTCCAAGACGCTAACTTATGACTTACATATATTAAAAGTGGAGAAGCTGTGCCAGTGCCAGCGCCTACTAAGACTTTTTCTTGGAAAGCAGGAATGACTTGAAAACTCTGGCTCAAAGCAGCTACTTGTTTCTATATCTCTTAAGTAAGACAAGACCATGTCGTAGCTTAACAATTTTGTACCTCGGTTAGTGCTAATGATTCTGTGTGTGTGTGCTTTTAAGATTTTATTGCGTACTTAGCCAGTCGGTACACAATAATTTTGTTTGTCAACAGCAGCTTCTTTGATCTTTATGCGTGACTGTTGTTTGCGAGCAAACGACAAATAACTCAAGGATTTTTGCTTCCCAAAGATGATGAGACAACCAAATAGATTTCGTGACCCTGACAAGCAATTGGCAGAGCTTTAACAATTAAGCATTCAGATTTATCTCTTTTTTTATGACTTTTGACAAGCCTCGCATTGTAAATTAAGAGTTTAATTTCAGACAGCAGTTACAGACTGGAGTTTATTATATGCCATCGTTATTATATTGAAGGTTTTAGCTCTTTCGATACGAATGATAACTGCAAAAATGTTATTGCCTAATTTTCAGTTCTTTTTTGTTTAACGTTAAGTAATTGGAAAACGAATCAGATACACATATTTTTTTTAAAAAAATATATACTTTCCACTGTAAGAAATAAGATATGTAATCCAGTAGAAGAAAATCAAATCTTAAACAATTACGATTTGCAATCCGCATACCGATTTGGATATCGGATACTTTCAGTTGTCAGCAGAAACAATAAACCTTGTACATTACTTAGTGTTTATGTATAACAAAATGAAAACATAGAAAAATAATTGTATTGAATAGCTACAAAAAATTGTAGCTACTAAAGCAATAAAGTAGAATTTGCGGACCTCTAAGCAAATTAGTTCCAAAATTTCAGAATCATCTTGTTCTTCTACGTAGCATTCTCAGACTTTGGCATAAGCCATGTCGACACTGAGACCCTGTAGGGGGACTGAAGAATACAATTGAGTATACAATAGAGTATCTCGAATGATCTATGAGTCATAATCTGCTGAAATTTCGGTAGAACTCTCCTCGTCCGACTTGCCTATCCAGTGTATTATACTGAGAGCCCATCTTCCTTCCTTCAGGTGCTTAACACACTTATCAAATGACAAAAAATCAAAATAAACAAGCTGGCCGGATACATAGTCCATTCTTAAGTATGTACACTATTTGGATGCCAGGCACTATGCCAACTCATATACTGCTGGTTGGGTGCGGGCGACATTGGCGGTGGCACTATCGTCATAACCATCAGCACATTTGTTGCCCCTGGGCAGGTTAGTTATGTAGCTGCTCCACTCGAAAGCGATGATAGAGCCCTCGTCGTCACATTGAATTAATGAGATGCGGCTGAGCGGAGCGCAGGTTTTGGTTTTTTCCTATGAATTTTTCACATACACTACACATACTCGTATTATTTAAATTTGTGTTGAGTATTTTGTCTGTTGTGGCTATTGTGGTTAGGCGTGAAGTATGCTCAGACACGAATACAAAGCTCGGCTTACACAAACATGCACTCACATATGTACACACACATATATATGTATGTGTAGTTGGATATGTATGCTAGTGGTTATGTAATTTGTTGTTGCGGCTGCTGTTTGTTTCGCTCAATTTTGTTTGGCATTTTTATTTCTAACTACAAAGTGCTTTTTTAACGCCATTTTACTTTTAGTTTCAGTTTTAGTTTTCATTCGTTATTCAGTAGCGTTGTCATCAGACGCCGATTTATATATGTGGGTTGGGGTCAACCCATTAACCACATCCACAACTCTCGGTCGATGCACGAAGTTGGTTTACAAAAAAAAAAAAAACGTGTCATTGTTTTTTTCACGACGTTATTTGGAAACAATGCAAAACTTAAAAAAAAATACAATTGCAATGCGTTTTGTTTGTTTGTTTTTGCCAGATTTGTATGTTCATTAAATATTTGGTAGCGTAAAAATTAAGAAAACAAGCAACTTTTAAAGCTTATGTCGACCTTGGAACGAACGCGCTCTGCTTCCTCACCAAACAAGTTTTTGCTTCTTGTTTTCTTTCGACTGGGTTGACAAAAATTGTCGAGCTGATGACTCAACACCCATGCATATAGACACACATGATATGACTCAAATATTGAATATTCAAATCTCTTTATCTTTTCAGGAACTACCACGCGCCGAGGCTTTGCTGGGCAAGGAACATATCGACGATGCCAATTTGCAGCATATTGATGAGCCGGCCAATAAGAAGGTGGAAATGAAGGGACAAGAGGCCAATCCCGAGGAGGAGGGACGTGATAGTTCCTACTCGGAGAGTGATGAGACCGAGGAGTTGCAGAAGTATCCCGGCAAAATGCCGCTCGAGCTGGACTTGAGCGATCTGGCTGCCGCCATTTTGCGCAACAACAAGAAGTAAGTCGCATAATCATTAATCAATGATTGTACTCTAAACAATAATCAGAAATACATATTATTGAATACACAAAATATACATATAAAGAAGTATGGAATGCAATGAGAAACTTCACTCCCAAAACATATATTCTTATATATTTTTGATTTGAGAATTCATTATATTTATTTTAATATCATTGTGTTGATTGATATTCGAATTCATGAACCCTGCACTAATTAATACTAGAAATATAAACTCTTGAGGTATTATTACCAAACTAAAAGAAAACTAAGTTGTAAAGACTCCATTCCATATACCTGCATGACATCAATAAATAATTTCATTCATTTATTTTCTCTTCAGATCCCGCATGAACTGCGTCGTTGAGCGCAAACATGCCGAGGAAATTGTCGACTCTCCCTCAAAGACCGTGGCTCTGCCCTTTGGCGTCAATCTGACCACCGATCCCAAGAAGGCGCGCATTACTGGCGAACGCATCTCGATCTTCTGCGATGGCGGCGATGATAAGGAGGAGAAGGAATCGAAACGTGCACGTGAGGAGGATGACGATTCTGATGAAGATGCCGAGCCATTGCGCCCCATGTTCATTCCGTTCCAGCGCGTGCCCATTCCCTTCGGTCGCATGCCCGATCAGATGCCCTTGACTCACATGCCCCAGCGCATGATGCCACCAGCAATTCAGCAACAGCAGCTACCCCAGCAGGGACCCATCATCATTCGCCAGTTGCCTCCTCCGTTCCAGCACCTGCCCATGCGCCCACCCATGCCACCTCAGGTGATGCACGCCCCACGCATGGAATCCCAAGAGCAGCCACAAACTGTGCGCATTCACGTCCAGCAGATCCCCTTCCGCCAGATCCATATGGCCGATGATACACCCATGCAGATCCCCGCCAACCAAGCCCCACAGCAGCAAATGCAACAGCGTGAGATGCCCCAGATCCAGATCCAGCATATGCCTTTGGGCATGGCTCTCCAGCGTGTTGGCATAACTGCCGATGATTTGCGCAACATTCAGCGTTTGGCCGAGGATCGCATCACCGAGGAACTGCGTCGTTTTGCCGCCGAAGAGAGCTCCGACTCTTCGGAGAACAATAGCTCCAGCTCCAGTGATGAGGATGAACATAGCAACGTTGAATCGACCTCAGTCGAGCACAGCGAGGGCACAACTCCGGCTCAGACTCAAACCACGCAGCCAGAGCACCGCGAGTCAGTGGAGCCTCAGAACCGAGAACAGCAGGCGCCCCAATTGCAGGTGCAGCGTCTGATTCTGCAGCCTTTGCCCGAGCAGCCACGCGATACCATGTCCCCACCCATGCCCGATCAGCCACAACAATTGCAGTTCGGTCGCATGGTCTACGGGCGCAGTCTCGCCCAACCCGTGCGTATTCCGGTGCCCATGATGCAGCCCGAGGGCAACCCATCGGCTGCGCACGAGGAGTCCGAGCGACCACACTGTGAGTAGACCCGCTTTCCACTGAAGGCATTTATGGATTAGTTTAAAAAAGGAAATTATGTTATCCATTGATTAAGGAACGAGTTAGCTTCCAAATCGTAAAGAATTAAAATCTCTAAAGATACTTGATCAGCTTCATGTTCGTGCCATTGCGGATCGGATCCCCATAATTCCTAAAAAACAATCAGTCAGGGGTGTCTTTCAATCGCTAGTAAATCTTTAAATATATAATATTTGTAAAATATGGTTTAAACGATTTTCTAATTTTCTCTCTCTCTCTCTCTCTCTTTTCGCAGTCGTCCACCCACGTTCCGTTTAAGTAACAACAACGCCGCGCCTGTGATTGCTGCTCTGCGAATCGAATCCCGAAGTCGTCATTATCAAAATTAAAATACATAGTATATCTGCGTTGTTGTCGTCTCCCGCAATCGATTCGAGACATCTCAAACCTTTATAAGTGTAGCAGCCCAAAACGCCAAAAGAAAAAGGAAAATAATAAATGAAATTGTTTTGAGTTTTGGCTTATCTCTCCCCGCTGTCTCTTATTTTCTTAATATATATACATATGTATACTTTCAAATAAATATTGTACCATATATGTATCTGCGTGTATAACATTCCAATCGGTCCTACGTGAACTTTTTGTTAAGAAACGAAAAAAAAAAAACATAAAATTGTAATTGCACATTTTTAGATTGTCTACAGTTTTGTTTTTGTTAAAGTCTCGTCTTTTTTCACTAATAAATCCGATGAAATTTGTACATAAATCACATATTGTATTTTATTTTTAATTTTTTGTAGTTTTAGTAACTTAAGAAATGGATAAAAACAAAAGAACTAAGCAAAAGTTGTACATTTTTTATACAAATTTGAAGCGAATAAAATTGTGGATAATTGGAAATCAACTACTCGAGTATGTGCTAACATTTAAATCTGAAAGGAAAACTGGATGTACTAAGCATATGCGATATGCAATAGAGAACTGGTGGAATTCTGAGTGCTAAGGGGGATTGAAAGGGATTTAAAGTAATCTATCGCTACACCATATCTTAATAAAATTGGTGGTGGATGATTTAAGCCCAGTATCTCCAATACTATGAATGACGTATTGATGGGAACATGCCTATAAAAACCAACAATATTACATATTGCATAATTTAATGAAAAACCTCATATCTCATTCTGCTATATATATAGTGTATGATTGTATAAAACCCAGAAATATAAAATCCAAGCGCATTAATTTTCTTATCTATGCTTGCGTACTGATAAAATGCCAAACATCTTATATAATCCGAAGCTATCAAAATTATCTATTTTCAGAAAGAACATTCTTGGTTGCTGAAAAATATGAAAGTTCATATTGTTTTTAATAGAAGTACTATTATTTAAACATTTTTCAAATATTTGAACTGTAAACATAAACCAAAATAATAGCTAAAACTCTCCTCTTCTCAGCTAATAAATTCGAATTCAAAAATCAATATTTTTCTGAAGGAGTAGTTAATAACTAATCTTATTTTTGATTCTGACGCGCACATAACTCCTTAATATACACACGTCCTATAATACTTTGATCTGATCCATCTGCCAATATGCGCTTAATCTTTCATAACATTTTACTAATTACTTTTCTGGTGACCTAAGGTTAATTGGTTATTTTATCGGGATATAGGTTTGCACACTGCTGATCGAAAGCAATTCTACAAATTGGCAGTCAACCCCAATTAGAGTACGTTAGTTCCCTCTAAATATTTAAGTATCCACTATTCTTTAAGCAAATAGAGACTATTTACTTTACTTTTGATAAAGATTCGTCATTTCTAGTGAGAGGGATGTCTGCTTCACAGATAATAAAAAATTGATAAGTTTCTTAATGTGTGCATTTTTGTTGTCTGGAAAATGTGACCTAATTCTCTTCCTAACTTTAACTGGTAAACCATTAATTGAAAAATCAAAATATTCCGACGGCTCTTTTATACCTGTATTTTATTTACTTGTAATTTCTTGTTTGCATTTCGTCAAAAAATCGAACATTTTATTTTAATAATTTTTCTCGCTCGTTTACAATTGCATATACAAGTATATATGTATATCAATCAGTTGGTATATATATACAATGTGCACGTACACAAGACAGGGAACAACCGATATAAGCGTCCATTGGCGCAGCAAGGACGCACATTATAATACAAATATGCATGTAGATTAGTTTTATTTTTATAACATATGACTAATTATAGGTTGCATTGACGGGGCATCATTACCAGAATTTTAAAATACATGTAAAGAAAAACGAAAATTCTCGCTAACCACTATAAGCCTTAAAACATTTTGAATACCGAGGGTGAAAATCGTCTAAGTTAATAACTAAAATAGAATACAGACGCAAAAATCGAAAATCAAACGGATAGACGGGTAGGTGTGGGTGCTAACCCTTCGGAATAGCAGGTGTTTTGCTCTGTATACATATATTGTACGAGGGAAGGGAGCGTCATTTTTCTGTTGTTATTTATAAACAGTTGTTTTTGGTTTTCCTAGTAATGAAAGATAATAGTGCATTTTGCACACCTTCTACGCCAGCCGTTGACTCACTCACTATATCACCGATTGTTATATTTATGCAAATTGTTTGTTTGTGTTTGTGTGAGTTCGTAAGGTGTAAAATTTCAAACGCATCACAAATCCTATTTAGCCTTCCCAAACACCGCACCGTTTCGTTGACTATTTGATAAAATGACAAGGCCCATTATCTATCCATTTTCGCACTGATGTCCCTCGCAGTTTCCCCAAAAGATGCAGTTTCCCACACCACTGTAGCAGATAAGGGAGACAGCGGTTATGAAGACGAGGCTGCAAATCGTACAGGGCTTTCGCTCCAGGAAAAAGCCAATCAGGTAGAGCACTATGAACATGACGTGTGTTTCCATTAGCGCCGGATTTGTGGGCTTCGGTATTAGGAGCACGGGCAGCAAGCATTGCAGGCAATACATGTTGAGTGGGTGGCTTTCTGGCAGAAGGTGGTTCTCTTTCGATGTTGGCGTGGAGCTTATGAATTGGCCGCAAGCGTCGTCGTGGCTGCGAACATGCAAAACGGGTCGTACTTAATTGTTCTATAATTATACTAACTGAAAACTGTGTCCTGGGCGGGACGTCAGCAGAGACAGAGCTGCAGCGCAGTAGCAGTAAAAGCAAAAACAACAACAGCTGCGGCAACGTCGTGAGACTCGCGCCCAGGGCCCACTTATAAGTCGATTAAAACTCACCTGTCTCGTGCTCAAATTCCAATCCTGCTGTCGTTCGATGGCGTAGCTAAATTAAGCGTTGGCTTTTTGTGCGTTTCGGATTATCACATTCACATAGTTAATCTTTGTGGAACTCAACATGCCTAGTGGAAACGCATAATAAACATTTTCGATAGTGCTCAGAGATGTGGCTGCTTTGCATGTATCGATAACAAAAATATCGAATTTCTTTAATGCGATTATTCTTACCACAGAAGGTACATATACACACATACACATGTATGTATAAACAATAACAAGAAAGTTAATGCAGAACTGAAAACATTTAAGCCCTGTTTTAATACTTACAACAAAAACATTTAATTACTAAACTATATAAAAACTGCTAGCCCGCAAATGCAGTCTTAAGTTTATTTGGCGCAGCATTCAAACATAAATTTGTATTAAAGAAATAATAATTTTACGTAAATATTGCCCATTGTCAAGAATTGCTATGGTATGGAACTAAATGCAAATCGGGACGCATCCATCATTTGTATGTACGTCATATGGCAATACGTGTAGGTAATTTTTCTAAATTATTGCAATTTTTAAACGTTCCAATAGAGCGTATTAGCGTAAATCCGTGGATCCGTAACTACGGGCAGTAAGAAAACCCAAGCAGCAAATCCAATAATGTACAATCCGATGGCCACAATTCGTCGCCAGAACTGCAATTGCCAAAGTTCCTGCACATCTGGCAGACCCATGTGATTGCAGAAAGCGTGCACCAGAAATGGAGCCACTATGTGCCCAGTGCGCGCAAACAAGTATGCAGAGTAGAACCCAAATAGCGTCGTATAGACGAACTGGAAAAAGCCAATTAACACGGCTGTACTCAGTTCCACGCCAAGACTTAGGCGTTCCGCAATGTGATGCATATGGGCGACGCCAAAGAATAGTGGCGTTATAAACACCGACGTCAGGGGAGTAAAGCTCTGCAGGATCAGTGGCATCATGCACGCGCGAAAAACAAACTCTTCGCTGAGTGGTGCCATAACATGATTACGCAGCCAGACAACGCTGCTGAAGGAGCCGCTCCAGTAGTTCCAGTCTGAAAAGTTGAACTTGAGTACAAATGGCACCCAGGGTTCCATGTGTCTCTTACCAAAGTATATGCGTATGGATTCAGTCTGCATGTTTACAAAGATAGGACCTAGAAAAAGCAGCGCAGTGAGCAGATATGGAATGACAATTGCCTGCCACAATCCTAGCCACCGAAATCCCAGCAGTTTCGGAAAATGCTCGCGTTCCAGCAACTCGGGTGAGGAAAAACAATATACAAAGAATGGTGCAAAGAGCATTACAAAGGAGACGCTTGCAAATCGTCGTTTTATCGTGCTCGGATGATCCCTACTGTGCTTTGTACTCCAAACGTAGAGGCTCCCGACATAGATTACAGCCAGAATGAAGCAGCAGGTGACAGATGTAGTGACTGGTATTTGCGGCATTGGCAGCGCCGCTGGCACTGTTGTGGTTTCTGTGCGCATTGTGGTCTCGTTGTACATTTACTGTTTATTATTTACACTATTGATGAATTCATTTATTATTTACTTTTAATTTGCATTTCTCTAAATGTACACAAAATCAGCTGTGGCTAAGAAAACACGTTATTAGTGTGGCTGTGCACATATTAAAAACCACGGCAAACCATTACTATAATAATAAACAAAGTGAACACATAAATGCTAAGTAATGAAACTGATATTAATTAAAAAGTGTTTACTAAAAACGTTAATGTGTTATATATTGTCTGTATGGCATTATATACTGAAAGAACTTTATATCATTAACATCGTGACTTAGTCACACTTACGTGCCTTGCATTTGGGCATTGTGTACACACTGGCACTGATAAAGACGGCTTTAGGTTGTTATTTAAAACAATCGGGCTAACATTTTCCAACAAAAAAAAAAACGACAATAATTTCGCATTTTTCATTAAAGTTCTATAAAACACTGCATTGCTGCTTTATAAAACACACGCAACAAAAATGTCGTTCCTCCTCAAAGCGGCCGCATCATCACGACAACTCATTTATAAGGTTTCTCATTTATAACACACATATGTTATCGCTAACGACCTTTGACTTCAACTTTTTTTGTTTACTCAACAGGCACCTACACAACTGCAGCAGCTCCGCCACCTTAATCTGCTGGAATTCCAGAGCAAGGATTTGCTCCAGAAATATGGCGTAGCCATACAACAATTCAAAGTGCTGGACAACTCGAAAAATGATGCGGAGACTGTCAAGACCTTTGGTAAGCACAACCGGTCCATGCCCTTTATGTAATCGGATTGAAAATGTTGCTCATATCTGATATATGCAGATTGTCCCGAATATGTGGTCAAGGCCCAGATACTTGCTGGCGGCCGTGGTAAAGGTGTCTTCGATTCTGGATTCAAGGGAGGCGTACACATAACCTCAAAGTGAGTGATAATGCTGATGATAAGAGAGGTCACGTAGTTTTGTTTTTTATTTGAACATTGCTACTGCCTTTCAGCAAGAACGAAGCTCTGTCGCTTAGCAGACAGATGATAGGCCACCGTTTGATAACGAAACAGACACCAAAGTCGGGGATTCTGGTAAACAAGGTGATGTTGGCGCGCAGCGTGAACATCACACGAGAAACGTATCTGTGCATCTTACTGGATCGAGAACATAATGGACCAGTGCTGATAGCTTCACCTGCCGGCGGAGTGGATATTGAAGCCGTAGCCGAGCAGACGCCAGAGAAAATTAAGACTGTGCCACTGGATATTGGAAAACCCATTCCGGAGGCCACGCTGCTAGAAGTCGCAAAGTTCCTCGAATTCAAGGGGGATGCTCTGAAGCGTTGTGCCGATGAGGTTCAAAAATTGTACACGCTTTTTAAGGCAGTGGATGCGGTGCAGATTGAAATCAATCCGCTTGCAGAAACGGACAACGGTGAGGTGATCTCTGTGGATGCCAAGCTGAATTTTGACGATAATGCCCAGTTTCGTCAGAAGGAAATCTTTGCCATGGATGTTAACGAGGAGGAGTCGGATCCACGTGAAGTGGAGGCGGCAAAACATAATCTCAACTACGTGGCGATGGACGGCAATATTGGCTGTCTCGTAAATGGCGCCGGCTTAGCAATGGCCACCATGGATATCATAAAGCTTAATGGCGGGGAACCTGCAAACTTTCTGGATGTTGGTGGCGGCGTCAATGAGGAACAGGTGGCCAAAGCTTTCGAAATACTCACAGCTGATCCCAAGGTTAAGAGCATACTCGTAAATGTGTTTGGAGGCATCGTCAATTGTGCTACAGTTGCCAATGGCATTGTGTCCGCTTCAAAGAAGCTGCAGTTAAATGTTCCTCTTGTGGTACGGCTGGAGGGCACAAATGTGATCAAGGCACGAGAGATTCTACAAAATTCCGGTTTGCCAATACAAACTGCTAAAGATTTGGATGATGCTGCGACTTTGGCGGTTGCGGCCCTCAAGTAAGACGAACAAGTACATAATTACGAACTTATATATTTTATATGCATTGTATGCGCATTTAAACAGTTCTTCCAAGTGAACGCAGGGCCTTTTGTCTTAAGTTTTATTCAATATTATATACGCACAATATATGTTGTTAAATTTTATACGTGAAACAAGCTTGTTTTGTCTTCAAACGATATCAATGCGCGCCAAACTTTTCTGTTAAATAACATAGCTTAGAGTCTTTTATTTAACAGTGAATTACAGCACTGCAAACTATCGATTCAACAACTTGAAATATCGATAGGCGTCGTTGCTCATCCCTGTAGTCCACACCCAAAGCCAGCCAGCCAAACAAACATTGGGACGGATTCAGTGAAAATTAATTAAAAATCTCACACAAAGCATGCAAAAATCTTCACATTTTGCACGCGAGGATTCCCAGGAGCATCTACCCAGTCCACACCACACAGTTAACATGAAGCGACGCACTCTGGCAGGCAGCTGTGGCGTTGGCGTCTTCGTCTTTGCGTTCGCTTTCATTGCCATTGCGTTTGTAACGCCCAGTTGGCTGGTGAGTGATTATCGTATTACGGGTGCGAAGTTGGACAGGCTGGGTCTTTGGGTGCACTGTTTCCGCTCTCTGCCCGATGTTAATGATGACAGTCAGCGCCGCTTCTTCGTCGGTTGCCGTTGGGTCTACGATCCATTTACCACAGGCTACGATGAGATTCGTGGTTTCCTGCTGCCCGCCTTCATGATTACCACACAGTTCTTTTACACACTTACCTTCATTGGTATGCTGGCCAGCGCTATTGGTGTACTGGTGTTCTTCCTTTGCGCGGGACCGGATCAGAAGCACTTCCTTACGCTTATTCGTTCGCTAGGTTATGTGCAATTGGCCTCTGGTGTTAGTGCGGCCATTGCGGTCATTGTGTTTGCAGTGTTTGGCAATCGTAATGGTTGGATGCCAGAGCATGCGAACAATTGGTTTGGTTGGTCGTTTGTGCTGGCATGTGTGGGTACCGTCTTCACTATAGTGGCGGCTACCCTATTTCTAACCGAAGCGCATGTGCAGCATCGCAAACGTTTGCAGTTCAAGGAATCGCAGACGCGTTTCGAATTAGTGCGAGGAGGTTAAAAGCCTGAAACAGGCATTCAAGCAACGTGACAATAATTTGGGTATGTGTATGAGAATCAAGCTAAACGCATTGTAACCTTCAGTACATTCTTCTATTGCAGCAGCACCCGCACTACATACTATAACAAAAAAAAAAACAAACAACAGTACACGAAACATTCCGTCCCCACGACACTTCAACGAAGAATTCTCACCATATAATTAAATGTAGTTTTAGTCGGAAAAACAATAGCGTCGAATCTGGCGCTGACGCAGTAGTTGAATGTTTATGCAATTGACAATCCCCCTCGCATATCGCATGATCACCAGAGAACGCACAAGCAACAGACCAGAAGAGACTTTCAGTTGGTACTTATGACTCATTCAACATCAGTTCATCCATATAGTCGGCAGCGACAACAACAACAACGACCAATGGCAAAATCGTTAGAAGACTGACTGAATCTGCATACTTCTGCCAATCTTCGTTTGAGAACAAAATGAACTGCAACTCAGCAACGAAGTGAATTTACACACAAATAATACCCAAATAATTTCAATTATGATGCTCAAGTGAATCATTCCCGTTCGTTTAAAAATATTTACATATCTGAACTTACGCTCAATTAGCGCACAAAGTTTCCAATACCCCCTACCCATTCATACAAACAGTAAAGTCGATTAGCTTTTGATGGCGCAGGCACTTTGAACTGGCAAGAAATATTCGTCTATGTATATGTATTGTGCCTTAATTAGTGATCTGTTATAGTTTATAGTGCCTTTATGAAAATATTGTTAGATCTTACTACCTGTTCAATGTGCCATGCGCGTCAACTGGCATCGACGTCCAATTGGATTGCATAAACATCTACTAACATAGTGTTTTAGTTAAGTTTGCCCCATGGAAAAAATCCAGCCATTTTAGGCATTCCAAAATGTTTTTTACACAATTGTCTTTTTATATTCATTATTCTGTCAATCCTTTGTCTTTTTGTAAAGGTTAAGATAATTCTCAGCCCACTTTTAAAACCCATCCCTTTAAAATTTTGTACTGTATTCGAATGTACTGTATAAACATCTACTAACATAGTGTTTTAGTTAAGTTTGAACCATGGAAAAAATTGAGCCACTTTAGAACCCCATACTTTAAGGCATTCCAAAATGTTTTTTACACACTTGACTTTTTATATCCAGTATTCTCTGTCCTTTATCTTTTTGTAAAGGTTAAGATTATTCTCCGTCCAATTTTTTAATGCATACCTTTACAATGTTGTACTGTATTCAAATGTATTAAATGTTTTACCATAAGATTGTTCTCCGTCCAATTTTTAAGCCCACACCTTTACAATTTTGTACTGTATTCGAATGTATTAAATGTTTGTACCATAAAAGTGGCATTTACAAACTGTATACAAATACCATATATGTAACTTATTTTGTACAAATGAGTTCTTAGATAAAGCAAAGAATAAAGTACATATTGTACAAATTAAAAGCTAAATGCACTAAATGAGTACTTCAAGGCGGGAAGTCAACGAAACGCCAAACAATCAAATAATTCTCACGACCCCAGAGCACTGTGAGAACTATTTTGATTTGTGATAATTAGTATGACTTTGTAAGTATGTGATTGTAGGTATTTGTAAGTAATATTCTAGACAGTTAAATATTATTGGTAAATGGTATTTAATAGCGCCACATCAGTTAAGGGAATCTAATGTCATAGAAGTTTCGGCAAAATATGCAACTTGGCGAATACCTTTGGACGATCAAAACAACTTTAATTTTAAATCCGCCTATAAAGCGCAAGTGATTGTATTGCCGTTTAATATTTCCAGAACAACTTAGTAAAAAAGTTCCAATAAAAATTCAAATAAAGCCGTTGCCGAAACGGCGTTCTCTTGATGACGAAAGAAAATGTAATACTCTTGCTATTTATAGCAAATAACGCCATGGGAAAACCCGAAATAAAAGTGTTGTAAATATCAGAAGAAAGAATTTTATGCGTATGATCATAAAAAATTAACACTTCACACCTAACACATATTGATTAAACATGAATAAAAAAATTAACGCTCTCGAAGGCAAATAAATACTTACCATTTAAGCAACATACACATGCATCTAAATATTCGTATAAATACGGGTATGTATATTCTACTTTTATTTCGAGATTTTAAAACGCTTTTGTACATTCATAAATATATACAAGTATGTATATATTTTGTTTGTGACAAAAATATAATTAGATCGCAATCTTATTACAATTTTCGTATTTTCGCTTGCATTCTCATTTCAAAATAATATTTTTAAATATAAATCCAATGGGCCAGATTTAAGTACGATCCCTTTTTAAGCTGCTAGATCATCAAAATAAAATTTTAAATAAATATCAGAAGCATCAGAAGTAAAAAGATATTCAACTTTCCAAATAGTTTTAAACACACATTTGTATTTTTGCACAGCTTCGTTGCTTGTTTGATATCCAGTTTTTTAAAGACGAGCAAGATTATATAAGAAGAAAACTATTTGATTCTATCTATTGTGTATCATATGTATAATAAATATTAGATCATTCGCATAGGCACGAAGTCAAAAGTGATTTGAAATGGAAATTAAAAATCCAGACAAACATAGGCATAATTAGTGAAACAGGTTAGTGAAATGGACGGCGGGCTTGGATAAGAAATGAATATGAAACAAATTTTTGAGTTGCCCACGCATAAAAAAAACCCAAAAGATGGCACACAGTGACACAGATGGATGCCGGAGAAGAATTTCGATGGTCATGATGAGGAGGACACGTCGAAAAGAGGAGGATCAGTAAAAATTTATAAGCACATATCACATAGACCGATTGATGGATGGATATGACGATTTGAAAGGTGAACTGATTAACACGTTGTGAGACAACTGGTGACTGACTCACGGCTGGAACGATGATGAGAGACTTAAAGGCAACCTTGGAATCAGGTGCAGAAATGTGCTAAAACGCAAATGTATTTTTTTGAATTTAAGCTTAGCTTATAAATCGACTACTTGGGCAAATAAAACTACTTGGCATGACCTCACACATACTTAAATGGCAAGCACCGTTAGTGAAGCACAAATCCGCCACTTAAGTACAATTACAAATTCAAATTCAAATATGAAAAAAAAAAAAAAATGACACGGAACGGAGAACGTATTCGGAGATTGAACGCATTGACTGAAAAATGTTATGGCTGTGTGAAAATCTTGCTCGGCTGGCCAAAATGAATGACGGTATAAATGTCAGATATGACAGCGATATAAAACGTGCTAGAAAAATATTAAGTCCTCTTCGCACAGATGTGGCTGATGCATTTGCTTTAATGCACAAATAATGAAAAATTTAATTAACATCAAATGTTAATTCGTGACTAAATAAATCAGATTTTGTTTAACAAATTCAGAGTGAAAAATGCGGAAGATTTTATTATACTCGTATAGCATGAATTATATATAATACCAATGGGCGTGTGTGTCAGTAACTGTGTGTGAAAACTGAAGTAATATATATATTTTTTTTAAATTAACACAGGCACTCAGGGCTAAGTCTGGCATGGAATACCCTTAACCTAGTTGGCTTCTTAGCTAATATTTGGGGGATAACATTTTGGTCACGTTGTGGTTGTAGGTCGCGTCAAATTTTAAACCACTCTTTTCGTATCTGAAAATCTAATGAAACTTACAAACTCGAAAATATATATTTGAAATATTAAAAAATTAATTAATTTAATTGTATCCTATCTCTGCAATTGTAATAAAATATTAACAGATATAAATTGAATTTGAATTTGTAATTAACTAAAGTATCTGTGAAAATTACGTTAATGATACTAAAATGTTGAAAGAGCAAAAATATGCGTTTATTTATTTGATTTTTTAATATTTTTGTAATTTTTTTATCGACAACCAGAACTGCTACGGTTAACATAATTTAAATAGGACTGCTATCTAGCATAGCTGTGGGCAATTAAATACCTAAAAAATTTAAAAAATATAAATACTAATTCAGCACCTATAATAGGTTTGACTGCTAAGATATTAAAAGTTTTGTTTGCTGATTACTATTTTTGGATTTTACAGAACATCTTTCTTTCATGGCTGTATTACCTTGTGAATCAGATCTGTTGCCACACCTTCTTCTCATTTTCCTTTCACTCTTTTTAAAAAAGAGTATTAGAACTAATCACTTAAATTGAGTTCCAAAATAAATTAAGATAAAAAATGTGCGTGTCTGGCAGGCAAATAAATATTTCTTTAATTTATGTTTGAGCCGTCTTCAGTCTTTTTGTAAAATTTCGTTTTCATTTGCATAACATTTTTTTTATACATATATACTATATAGCCGAACTTGTCGAGAAGAGAAGGCGAAATCGTCAAAGTTAATTTTCAGTTTTAACAAACAAATACTGTGTGTGTGCCATTAAGGCTAAATTTGATTCTTAACCTGTTCTAGTCGTGAGGTTCCGAGATTAATTGCTACACCACGAAGAGGCATTTTGCATAAATTTTCAATATAAACGATAAGATACAATTGGCCATGTGAATGAACGCATTGAAACTAAGAGTTTTGGGAATGATGATCGAAGACGGGACTGGGAACTAAAACCGAGAGTGCGTTTTCGATTATGCAAAGGCTAAAAAAATAAATAAGTGTATGCTCCATTAGATTGAATTTGGCTTTTGTGAACACTTACATATTTGCCAGACGCAAACTTTGGCGGCAATGCTCATTTGAATGCGTTCAAATATTGATAGGTTTCGCCTTTTTGAAAGATTTTTGTCTTTTCGCTTGCTACATTGAAGGTCTGAATTGCCAGACACTTACCACCGCTTTAGCTCAATGGCAGACAAAAGTCTATCGTCTTCATTAAAAATGAAACGACTTTTTTTTTATTCAAATGCGAGCAACTTTCGTTCACATTTGAATGCCATTCACATTTTTGCAAAATTGAATATTACGCATACGCCTGCTCATCCAATTCTAATAAAGCTGTCCAGTTTAATTCTGTTCGACTTCGATCGAATTAAGTGCACTCCTTTTATGACGTCTAAAATATTAGCATGCACAGCGCGACCTTGAAAATCGATCCGGCCTAGGGAAAGGACGTCTTGTTTGTTGGTCGCAGTGTTTGATGTTCGAACAATACGCTCGTAAATGGTAGGCTGTTGTGTTTGTCTCAGTGATTGGCCTTTTAAAACCCACTAAAATATGCTGATAATAAATGATTTGTTTTCTGTTTCCATTTTACGAGCATTAGCCAAAAAGTTGCCACAAATTATGTTGCGTCTTGCTTGCTTAAGTATTTATGAGCATACCACTTAAATAGTGGTTGGTTGACAAATCCGGGACGATATGAGTTAATGAGGAAATAAGAAGTTTTTTTTAACAATACGAGCAACTACGTATTTGTTGTGGTTTGAATAGAGCCACCAGAATAAATTAGTTCATTTAAATTGCGATTAAGATTTAAAAGAAACAAATGGTATACTGTATTGCCTTTTTAGCATATTTATGCTTTCACTAATATTATTTTTGGTTTTATAAAGAAGGAGATGGACTAGCTACGGAAGTAAAGACAACATACTAGAGAAGGAATTACATTCAAATGGGAGAAATGCTAATAGAAGCAAATAACTTTTACGAATATTATTTCTGGTTCTCTTCAGAGAGAAGGAGTTGGACAATATATCAGAGAAGCAAATAGTTTTCCAGACTTTCATGAGAAAGTATAGTTATATCACATTTCTCAGGTGTTATTGGTTTTTGCTAATCGAACAACATTTTTTGGAATCTATTTTATTTTTCTGGCAATTTCCAACAACACTTAGTGATCCATGTAGAACCGACTAGCACTATTGATAAAACCGATTCATTTAAGCAAACGTATTCTAATTGTTTAAGGCTAGTGATATTAGAATGCGGAAATGATGATAGAGATGAGAGTCTGCGAAAGCCGAATTATTCTCATCAATAAAATCGAAGATATCACTAAGCTAACCCAAGTTCTGAGGTACAGTTTCGAAGGTACGGAATAATAAATGAGTAAATAAATAAAGTGTAAATCCTTGAAACAATCCACATCAAACAATTAAGAAACGCATGTTTAGAGCTAAATAGAAAAATTACCCAATTATTATAAAACCAAATCATGAAATAAATAACTAATAATATAAATAAAATTGTTAATTAATGTATAAAAAGCAGTGGCAACAGCATAATAAGCTGCTATATCTATCAAATTAGATGATAAAAGGCGCCAATGTGCATGCTCTAGATATAAAAAAGCTTTTAAAACTCAATTAGCATGTGATTGATTGAGACCTAATGAAATAGATTCAAATTACGACCACCCATGGTGTTATCGATTCAACATGACTGAGCCCATTAACCATGTCAAACATTAAGCTATGGATGTACTATTATAAG